GCTTGTGTCCATTATTTGTTTTCATACCTTATTCAAGATTCTACATTGTATTCAGTTGCATTGGGCAGCTTCAGCTGCATGCAACAAATTCTTATAAATTTTTTTTAATTTTTATTCTGTCATATTTTCTAATTTTCCTTGTTGTGGTGTCTTAGTATACCCATCATTTAAAGGTTGACATTTAATTTCCGAATACATGGGTTTTTTTTAAAGTATCCTTGATATTAATCTCATATTTTGATATTAATTTCTCATTTAAATGCTTTCTTCTGTGCAGTTACCCTCAGTGGTTTTTCTGTTTTTTAACTTTATTAAAGCTTTCAATGGCTAAGTCAAAGATCTCTCTTGGTAAATGTCACATTGCACTTGAAAATATATGGGTTATTATCAAATATCTTTTGATATTTATTTCTAACAAAGTACCACAGGTATAAGAGAACAGAGTCTGTATGATTTCAGTACTTTTGATCAATGACATTTTTGCACCTTGTTTTATGTCCCTGGATATGTTTCAGTGTCTCCTGGTTTATAGTCTATGGGAACTTGAACAGAATTTATATCCTGCCTTTGTGTGAAAATTGTGTAAATCTTCATTATGTTGAATTAGTTCACAGTGCTTTTCAGGCCTACTATATGCTTCTACTTTGATATCTATTCATTTTATTAATTTTTGAGGTTTTATATTGAAACTACAACTAAAAATCTTAATTTATCTACTTAAAAAATTGTAACATATATAGTGGAAATATATGTAACTTTGTTCTCTAAGTTTCCTATAAATGTGTTATCATATTTTCATAGTTAAAAAAACTATCTAGATTAAAGAAAAAGAATTGTGATGTCACTCTAGATTTAAGCAGATAGTTCATAGAAGTATCATATATTTAAACATTTTGAAAGCTTTTTCTACCATGTGAAAATCTATAGAAATTATCATAAACTTGTATTCAGCAATAGTTGGACCATAAAGAAAGCTGAGAGCCAAAGAATTGATGCTTTTGAACTGTGATGTTGGAGAAGACTTATGAGAGTCCCTTGGACTGCAAGGAGATCAAACCAGTCCATCCTAAAGGAAATCAGTCCTGAATATTCATTGGAAGGACTGATGCTGAAGCTGAAGTTCCAATACTTTGGCCACCTGATGTGAAGAACTGACTCATTGGAAAAGATGTTGATGCTGGTAAAGACTGAAGGCAGGAGGAGAAAGGGATGACAGAGGATGAGATGGTTGGCTGGTATCACTGACTGGATGGACATGAGTTTGAGCAAGCTCTGGGAGTTGGTGATGGACAGGGAAGGCTTGTGTGCTGCAGTCCATGGGGTTGCAAAGAGTTGGAAATAACTGAGCGACTGAACTAAACTGATTCAGCAACAGAGCAAAACTAGCTTTCAAGCACATTTTCAAGTCACACAATAAAGTAGAAATTTAATAATTTTTGGGAATTACAGTATGGGGAAAAATAGATTTTCTTTTTCATTTCTCAGGGAATATAAGGAATGAAAGCCTGAAAGTATATTTTCTTAACTCCAAACTGAGCTCATCATCATTAAAAGAAATCATGATTTAACTGTTCAATGTGTCATAGCTTTAGCAGGCCCTTCACTAATTGTAGTCGTCTTAACTGGGTGTGCCAGATGTTGTCTGGATGTGTAAGCCACACAAGCATCATAACATTTTGTAGTAAAAAATTCCTGGCACCACCTCAGTCAGTCCTTTCTTGTGCAGGAGAGCTGTAGGGAGAAAATAACAGAAATGAATTTCTAAAGACTATAATTCTTGAAGATTTTCTGCTTAATGATTTTTATACCCCTTTCCCTCCACTGTTGCATAGATTACTAAAAGAAAAAAAAATTTAACTTTAATCCTTGTAAAAAGCCACAGGAATATTATGGCTAAGCATTTCAAAGCTCTTCTATTAATGCAGGAAACTGTTAGAGTGCTTTGAACATTCACTGTTTAGTTTCCTAATTATTTCAGTTTGAAAATTTGACTGAGGTTTACTTCTGCTTTGAAAGTTCACACAAATGTTAAAGGATACAATTTGCCTCAAGATTAATGAGAGCCAGTGATGGTGTTGGATATTTCCATACTGTTTATAGGTATTTTCCAAGTGGATAATAATTTAGCAAATAGATACTTCTGTTAGGATTAGTCTATTTAAATCTGAAAAGTCATATAGACCTGGAAATGGAGCCCTACTTTCCTTGGAGGATTAGATGTCTTTTTAACTTTTTATTTTGAAAAATTGGGGAAAAAACACCTATAGAATATCTTGTGGGTGTATCACTTGTTAGCATTGCTGTTTTTATTTTCTACTTCATTTCATATATGTGTATGTACTTATGTTCATTTTGCAAAATCATTTAAAAATAAGTTGCAAGCACCAGTCCTCTGCATTCCTAGGTATGTCAGAATTATCTCCTAAAAACTAGGATGCTTTCCTGTATACTGCAATGCCATTATTGCACCCACAGTTTTAACATTAATACAATCTTATTATCTAATATGCAGTCTATACTCTAGTATACTAATTGTGCTGATGCTATTCCTCATATTCCCTTTAAAAAAAATTCAGCATCTAATCAACGGTCATATGTTTAATTCAGTTGTCTTGTCTCTTGAATCTCTTTAATTGAAAGGAGTTTCCAGGCTTTCATTTTAACAGTCTTTCATATTATTGACATTTTTGAAGAGTCACAATCAGTTGTCTTGGAGAATGTCCCTGGGTAATGATCTTTTCACCCTAACCAATGCTAATTAATTAGGTAACTTTTCTGGAAAAAAAAAAAAAAAGCCTTTGTGCTAAGATTTTATAGCCATTTCTGATGCTGCATATCATCTACAACAGATTTGGATTAGAAGTGGATTAGTGTTATTTTCTGGAGACATTCAAGAACTTAGATGATGAGGGTAAGGAGTCACTGAATATATCCTATCTGTCCCCTTGACTCCCACATAGCTCAGTTAATCCAATAGGTCACTGTCGTAGAAATTTTCCTACAGTTACACTCTTTCTTCCAGTGTTTTTCTACCTAAGAACCTGGTAGTTATAGAACATAGTGTTTAACTACCCTGAGCCACATTGCCCTATATTTGAACTCCAGCCCTGCCCTATTTGAAACCCATTTCTCTTGTGATAAAAGAATAGCATTAATGTCTTACATTCAGAAGAGGGACCGATTTTGAAAATAGCTTCATTACTGTTACTTGAGTCACTGTGGTTATGAAATACTTTTGTTACTCATCCATTCTGCCACTGAGCCTGTGTCTGGTTTTCTGCTCTCATCATGCTAAGAACAAATCAACTTTTCTGTTTCACTGACATGTGAACACTGCCAGCTATAGAAACTAAATTCAGAGACAGCCACCACTGGCCTCTGCCTTACTAGATAGTAAAACCACTCTGAAACCAAGAAAACAAAGCATGATATAGAACTGTACTGAATGCTTCAAATTACTTTTAATTTAAAAAATGGCATCTTGTTTTCCCACAGATGGGAAGTTTTGCAGAGAACTCTTGGGAAATATTTTTCAATATTTTTTTAAACTATGTTTTCAACTTTTATTTTCAACTAAAAGCAGAATATGTGCTTGTGATAAAATCATTCAACATACTTTAAAGTAGAAAGAAGGAAATAAAAATGGCACAGAACTTTCATATGCAGATGTAAGTAATGCTAACTTTTTGGTATATTTTTACCATCTAGTCTTTTTATATACCATTTTTTACCTTATAGTCATTTTGTCATCATTTAAAAATACATAATTATTAACATATCATATATATACACATATATAAAGATAGTTTTTGTAGAGTTCTGTATGTATACATAAACACACATATGTACATAATTTTTATGTAGTTATAATGACATAAAAAAAGTAAGAGGTTGAATGTCTCCTATTGCAAACAGTGAAACAGAATTCTTCTTTTGCTTAGAGCGTTTACTTGTATTTTTAAAGTACTTTCTCCTCTCTGCAATGTATATAAATTCTTTTGAGGATTAGATAAGTTTTGTCCCTTTCTGAACCAGGGATGTCTTCTTCAGTGAACTGGGAGCCACCTCTTAGAATGTAGACATTGAGAGGGACAGTTTTTTGTATTTTTAACTCACAGTTATTTCCTCCTTCCACCTGACAAGTATCAGTATAAGGGTTCTAGTTGTTTCTATTTCTCAGAAACAATGAGATTTTGAACAAGTTACAGAATCCTGTAATTCTCTATTTATTCTTCTGTAAAGTGAAGGTAATCACAATAGTTCTGTCTGGTATACATGTATATGTCTTCAGTTCAGTTCAATTCAGTTTAGTCGCTCAGTCGTGTCCAACTCTTTGTGACCCCATGAACCACAGCACGCCAGGCCTCCCTGTCTATCACCAACTGCCAAGTCCACCCAAACCCATGTCCATTGAATTGGTGATGCCATCCAACCATCTCATCCTCTGTCGTCCCCTGTTCCTCCTGCCCTCAATCTTCCCCAGCATTAGGGTCTTTTCAAATGAGTCAGCTCTTCACATCAGGTGGTCAAAGTATTGGAGCTTCAGATTCGACATGAGTCCTTCCAGTGAACACCCAGCACTGATCTTTAGGATGGACTGGTTGGATCTCCTTGCAGTCCAAGGGACTCTCAAGAGTCTTCTCCAACATTTCAAAGGCATCAATTCTTTGGTGCTCAGCTTTCTTTATAGTCCAACTCTCACATCCATACATGAATACTGGAAAAACCATAGCCTTGACTAGATGGACATTTGGTGACAAAGTAATGTCTCTGCTTTTTAATATGCCCTAGGTTGGTCATAACTTTCCTTCCAAGGAGTAAGCATCTTTTAATTTCTTGGCTGCAATCACCATCTGCAGTGATTTTGAGGCCCCCAAAAATTAAGTCAGCCACAGTTTCCCCATCTATTTCCCATGAAGTGATGGGACCAGATGCCATGATCTTAGTTTTCTGAATATTGAGATTTAAGCCAACTTTTTCACTCTCCTCTTTCACTTTCATCAAGAGGCTCTTTAGTTCTTCTTCACTTTCTGCCATAAGGGTGGTGTCATCTGCATATCTGAGGTTATTGATATTTCTCCCGGCAATCTTGATTCCAGCTTGTGCTTCTTCCAGCCCAGCGTTTCTCATGATGTACTCTGCATATAAGTTAAATAAGCAGGGTGACAATATACAGCCTTGAGGCACTCCTTTTCCTATTTGGAACCAGTCTGTTGTTCCATGCCCAGTTCTAACTGTTGCTTCCTGACTTGAATATAGGTTTCTCAAGAGGCAGGTCAGGTGGTCTGGTATTCCCATCTCTTTCAGAATTTTCCACAGTTTATTGTGATCCACACAGTCAAAGGCTTTGGCATGGTCAATAAAGCAGAAATAGATGTTTTTCTGGAACTCTCTTGATTTTTCAATGATCCAGCAAATGTTGGTTTGATCTCTGGTTCCTCTGCCTCTTCTAAAACCAACTTAAACATCTGGAAGTTCACGGTTCAGGTATTGCTGAAGCCTGGCTTGGAGAATTTTGAGCATTACTTTCCTAGTGTGTGAGATGAGTGCAATTGTGCAGTAGTTTGAGCATTCTTTAGGATTGCCTTTCTTTGGGATTGGAATGAAAAACTGACCTTTTCCAGTCCAGATGAGATGGTTAGATGGCATCACCAACTCAATGGACATGAGTTTGGGTAAACTCCGTTAGTTGGTGATAGACAGGGAGGCCTGGCATGCTGAGGTTCATGGGTTCGCAAAGAGTTGGACACGACCGAGAGACTGAACTGAACTGAACACATGTGTGATAGGGCATTAGAGAAAAGGTAGTGGCTAGACCTGAGACAACAAAGGCTGATGGCAAAGTGAAAAGAGAGGGGACCCAGAAGGTGAGGCTGAGCAAAAGTTAGAACAGAATTTATTTCTCTATGTGTTGGGTTGGAGCATGCAGTCCTGCAAGGCCTGCGCTTGTCTAGCTTCAAGGCTGGAGGAGGAGGCTGGAACCAGGTGACAGAGACATCAATGGTTTGAAGGACAAGGGGAGCTTACCTGTTGAAAACGAGGTCCTGCAGTAACAACCCCTCCCCCCACCCTGTGTCAGCAGACATGGCAGTGGTGTTTGCTCCCCGGGAGGAGAGATTACCAGCTACGGGGAAACTGACATCAGGTTGACTGGTTGGTTACCAGGGAAACTAATGGAGGGGCACAGCCCTCATCACTCCTTTGATAAGGACAGTCACTAGCTAGATCAGGGAGAAGTATGTAGGCAGGTCTGTCATGTGAGTAGGGTTTTGGTGAAGCTGGCACTGGTTGAGCAGAGGGTGTACAGAGAGCAAGAGAACAGCTATCTTGAGTGGCCTAACCATACACAGAGTTTTAAAATTACATGAGAAAGGATGTATATTGATTTCCTATTACTGCTGTAACAAATTACCACAAACTTACTGGCTTAAAACAACACAAATTTGCTATCTTAACAGTTCTGGAGGTCAGAAATCTGATAAGAGACTTCATACCCCCTTGGGATAATCCAGGAAAATCTCCCCATTTCAAGATCCTTAACCTTAATCACATCTGTGAGTCCCCTTTGCCATGTAAAATGACATAACTATAGAACTTGATATTTAGAGCATGGACACCTTTGGGGATCAGTATTGTGCCTACTTTTGAAAAAGAACACCATTCATTTAAGGTTGCTGTTAAAATTAAGTGACATAAATGAATGAAAGTGCCTAAAATTGTGCCTGGCAGAA